AATACCACGAATATTAAAAAAGGAAAAAAAATAACCTCACAGATCATTCGTTGTATGCACACAATAATGATAGGAAATAAACTCCAACTAGAAATTATTAAGAGCATCTTCAACAACTATGTTATAATGGAGAAAAGAGGGATTTTAATAATTTTTTTGTTGCAACAGTTATGCTATCTTATTTGTTTAATATTTCCCAACAATAAAAGGAATTGAAAATACATGTTTAAAAGAGACATAATACTTTATTAAATGTATTTGATATATTAATAATATAATCAATGTTAAAATTACTATAATAAAATAGTTGTTGAAGTTGAATGTAATTTTCTTTAACAGATTTTGACTTTTAATACTTAATTTTAGAAAAAACATAGCATAATTATTGAAAAATGGTATAAAACCTCCGCGCTTTAATTACTCATAAAATGTGAAACAAACAACATAGAGGGGTGAATACGTCATTTAAAGAACTTCACTAGTTTCGTCATATTTCTATTTTCAAAAATATAGACAAATATATAAACAAAATGAAAATACTTACAAATATAATGAGATTAGAGACGATGAAATTTGCTTCAGGATTTATTTTTTATTCGGACATTTTATTTGGTTTTAACTTTTCAAGAACCATCCGGATCTAAAGCCATTAAGGAATTAAAAACTTTACCAGTAAATTATAAAGTTAATTATTCTCTAGGGTGTTTGGCCTTTTCCCCAATCGGGCCAAAAGTGAAGCTTTCTATTGCAACATCGGGGAGCACACTAAGAGTTTCATTCACTCTATCATTCAATTCCCTGAGGGCTCCCTTTCGGTCCGTTATCTCGGTGTTCCCCTTATCACGACTCTTATTTATCACAATGATTGTAAGGGTCTCGTCGACAAAGTTAAATCCAGGTTAAATGACTGGAAAAATAAATCTCTCTCCTTTGCTGGTAGGTTGCAGCTCATTCTCTCGGTCATGTCCTCGATGCAAATCTATTGAGCCTCGATCTTTGTTCTCCCTATTTCCATTACCAAGGAGATTGAGCAGCTCATGCAGGGGTTCCTGTGGTGCCATGATGAGCTTAAAAGAGGGAAAGCAAAGGTTTCCTGAAATAGCGTATGCCCTCCCAAATCTTACGGCGGACTTCACATTAAGAGTCTAACCAGCTGGAATCTTGCCTTTATGGCCTTCCACACTTGGAGAATCCTTACCAATAAGAACTCTCTCTAGGTTAAATGGATCCACTCCTATAGGCTTAAAGATCGAAATTTCTGGGATGCCCCAATCCGCAGCGATGTTGGTTGGGGCTGGAGAAAGATCCTAGGCATGCAGAATAAGATAAGAGACTTCATTGTCTCCCAGATTGGTAATGGTGCCTCCACGTTTGCCTGGTTTGATAACTGGCACCCAATTGACTCTCTCTGCCGACAAATCTCTCCTCGTAATATCCTCAACGCTAACCTCTCTCTCAATGCCAGCATTAAGGACATTATCTGTCATGGTAGTTGGATATGCCCCACCTGCGGGACAGTCCCAACTCCATTTGTTCGTGATCATCTCCCCCCTATTCTTTCCTCTTCTGTCCCTGATAAACTTCTTTGGAGAAAAAAGGATGACTGTCTCACTCCTTTCTCGGTCATGAGGTATGGCTCTCTATCCACCCCAATGAGCTAGATGTCGATTGACATCACATGGTCTAGTTCTCTCAAAACATCCCTAAACGTGCTTTCATTCTTTGGGTTGCCCTCAAGCAACGTCTCAAGACGCATGATAAGCTTCTGTTCTAGGAGACCTATTCTAACTTGTCTTGTGCGTTCTATCATAACGGGTCTTGTTCTCATCAACATCTTTTTGTTGAGTGTCCGTTTCCTAATCAGGTTGGGAATGACCTAAAGCCCAAGATGAACCTTTCTGTTATCCCGGATAACTGGCTGATATTATCGGCATTTTCCAGCAAGCCACCAAAGGCAAGACCATTTGATCTATCATTCGAAGATTATTGCTTGTTGGAACCGTCTACCACTTCTGGCAAGAAAGAAATAATCGTATCTTCAAGAATAAGAGAAGATTGCATGATATGGTGGTTAAGACAATCACTGATGATGTCCAGTCCAGGCTCCTTAGCTTGACCATAAAGCCCACCCCGATTATTGTCCGGGCTCGGCTTGCCTGGAACCTTCCCTAGTGGTCGGTCTCTCTCTTTTCTCCCCTTCTTTTTCTTCCTTTCTTTCGGGGAGCCTTGGTTCTTTTCTGGTGGATGTGGTTCGCTCCCACTCGAGTGCTTAATTTTGTTGTTTTTAGCGTTTAGCGTTTTCTTTTGATAGGATGGGCCTCCCCCCTCTATATAAAAAATTATATATATTAAAGATTTATCATTAGACATTAAGAAATTAGACTATTACAAGGAAGAACACTCATTGGGACTACTACAAGGAAGAACACTCATTGGACGCTTCATGTATGTTTGTGAAGCGCCTATGAATGTCCATTTAATCTAGATAATATAAATGTTACAAGAAACATGATCGTTGTTGCATTCACGGGCGTTCTACAAGGGGCCCACATTTCTACATAAATTATTTTAGGTAATCATCTTTTTCTTATGATGTTTCAATTTGTACAAAATGGTCTGTAACCAACAACACCCAAACTGACACACATCGACATGTAAGAGGCAAAATGAGGTATACAACATCCATTTAGGTGGTTGGCTTAAAAATGCAGTGCCTACAACAAGCAAAACTTTAATTAAATTAGAACTCTCACACTATGATTGTCAGACTTGAAACTTCATCTGTTTGTCAAATATACCACCATGAAATCCACGATGTTACATTTTTGATTTTTAGTCCAGTTATTGGTGTAACATCTTTGCATCAATCGTTATTGATCCAAATTGTAACATAAAAAGCGTTTGAAAGTTAATAGACATGAATCGAGTTTCATTGCTAACAAGATGAACATGTACTTATTTAAATAAAAATGAAGTGGTAAAATTGGGAAAAATGAAACTTAAGGGATAAAAAAAGAAAATATAGTGAAGAAAGTAGCTTTTTGTGGATGATTGCGTTTATATATATTTATTGAATGACATTCATGAGTCATTACCATCACACCCAACCAACACACTACATAAAAGCGTAATGGGTTGGCACGTGCGCCCCCTTACCTTCGGATCTCGACACGTGGCATCAGAAGAAACACAATGGAAAACACACCCAAAGCACACGGATCGACCCTCTCTAAATGTCGTCTCCACGTGTGATATATTATTGTAATAATAATCAAATTTAATGATTTACGTTTTAAATAAAACAGTATCAAAATTTAATAAAATTTATTTTCGTTTTTTATATAATATTATAATTGATTGGGTTCATGTGAGATCAAAATTTTTTCGTGAGACTTGTAAGATCAATTTATATTCATTGATTAACTTTATAAACTAATGATATAATGGTCTAAAGTTGCACGGTGACAATTTTGTGATTATTGAGAAGTCTCGTGATAATTTTGTGATTATGAATGTTCAGATTGTAGATCTAATCCAAAGGTTGAGAATTAGTCTTACGGGTCTCATGAAAAACCTTTGGTCTCACATAATCTCAAGTCTCTCTCTCTCTACATATATATATTGTTTCAAATACAACCCGTCATATTTGTACAACCAATGCAACCCAATAAATTGAGATATTTATGAAAATAATGAGAGTTTATTTATTATGATTTGAATATTTATAGAAGATGAATATAGTTTATTAATTATGATCGATATTTTATATTAGAAAACAATCAAAACTTTTATGAAATCACATATTAATCAAATGAAATGGACGGTTGAGATTGAGTTGTATTGGTTGCACAATTGTCAGGGGTTGTATAATAACCAATATATATATATATATATATATATATTTCACTTTTGAATTTTTTTTATATAATTTAAATAAAGTTTTTAAACTTTTTCTATTGATATAAATGGTTACATATGAGACGGGGGAGTTATGGTTTTTCTCCCGCCTCAATTTTGCAGATAGAAAGAGTGTGAGAACTGAACCCACACGTTCTTAGTTTGGGATTTTCCTATAATTTAATTTATTGAGTTTACTGGTCAATTTGTGAATTTATTGGCGACTTTATGATGATTTAAGAAAAATAGTTATTTAATGATTTTTTTTTATAAAAAGTAACCAGATTTTCGCATTATATGATCTATGGAGTTCATTACCGAATTTTTTGAGTTTATTGGTTATTTTATAATAAGTTATAAAAAAACAACGGCTACTTGATGAAATTCTTAGAAAAAATAATGTAGAGACTATTTACTAAATGCTTACTAGTTAAGCGCTTAACGGGCGTCAGTTACCTTAATGAGTATTATCACAATGACCGAGAATTTTACCACCTATGGAGCATAGCAAGGACACAAATCTTACTTGACAAGTTAAACAGAAGACACTTAACGTGTACGCATTTACTGAATAAAAGACGCTTACTAATAATTCATTTTTATGACTGAAAATGTCACCCGACAAAGGAATAAGAGTGATGACTCTTGTCGATTTGCACTTATCCGATAATCATTTGGTAAATAGTCCATTACGAATTGTTTGACTGGTTTTCAATTAAGTTATACATGAATAAAGCTGTCAATGTAAATTAATCTTTTTATATAAACTGAGAATGTTTTTATTTCAGAGAATTTTTTTGTAATTGAAATGAACATATTTTTTAACGAGGAGTGTCAAGTTTGGAAAAACCTTGACTTTCTATATAAAACTTCATTTAACAACTTGCTGAATAACCTATTTTTTATATTATTAAATCACTAACAAATAATCATGTATAACTGATCAAATAAGTTGTAAGTGTGATTCAAATTCACTTAGTTTGGGATTTTCACGTATGAGTTAAATGGTAAAAGGAAAAGAAAAAGAAAAAAAAGGAATCCCGCCTAAATCCGGACTTCAAAAAATCCATTGTTTGAGTTTTATTTGTATGCAATGCACACAGGAACACGAATACACTTGACTACACCCAACCAAAGCATATCTTTTCACGCATTTTCTTTCCTCTTATATTATTCTCCTCTTCTCCTTCCTTATCCATCCCCCCCTCCCTTTTAACTCACTGAGTTCATCACGATTCTCACCGAGTTCCGTCGTTTTTCGCTATGAAAGGAGGCAAATCCAAGTCTGAATCCAAAAAGCCCGATAGCAGGTCAATTTTCCGCTCTTTTCTACTTAAGATCTCTATTTGTTGTTGCAGGTAATCGAATATGTGATCAATTCGGTTTTTTTTTTTTGTCTTGATTGTTTGTGATTTTGTGTTTTAGGCTTGCGGTGAAGAAGAAGGCAGCACCGGCGAAGAAAGCAGCGCCGGCAAAGAAGGCTAAGGAGGCTAAGGATCCTAACAAACCGAAACGACCTGCTAGTGCCTTCTTCATCTTCATGTAAGTTTTTTTTTCATGAGATCTGTAGGTTTTTTGTTTGTTTTCGGTGATGTTGAATTTGTTCGTGTTGGTGATTCGTGAGAGTTTTGATCATAACAGGGAGGATTTCCGGAAACAGTATAAGGAAAAACATCCAAACAACAAATCCGTGTCCGTCGTGAGTATCGCTTTCTCTCCGCCGTTGACTTTTGACTTTTGTTGATTCCGATTTGATGTCCTGACTTATTTTCATTCTTTGGTCTGTGTTCGTAATTCTATAGGTCGGTAAAGCTGGTGGTGACAAATGGAAAACATTGTCCGCAGCTGTAAGTATAATTTTTGGCAAAATCAATTGAATTCATGTAGTTTTGCTTCAGTTTAATCTGAATTGATTCCTGATCCGTTTCCTAATTCAGGAGAAAGCTCCATATGTATCCAAGGCAGAGAAGAGGAAGTCCGAATACGATAAAACACTCCAGGCCTACAACAAGAAATTGGTAATTCGAAATTCATAAGAAAATGGAAGACGAAAATCTGAAAATTGTAGAATCTCAAATTTTATGATCTTGAAACTGTAGTCGGAGGGAAAGGACGCCGAAGAAGAAGAGGAGGAGGAGGAATCTGACAAATCAAAGTCAGAAGTCCATGACGATGAAGAAGATGACGATGATGATAGTGGAGAGGTAAATTCTCAATCAAAATCAAATAATCATCCACTAAATTGATCCAAAACACTAAAAAATCAGTTTCTTCTGATGATCATGAAAATGATGATTTGCAGGATGATGAAGATGACGATGAGTGAAGAAGAAGGTATGCTGGGAAGGGGAAAAAGGTTGTGTAGGAGTTTGAAAAAGAAGAAATTTGGGGCAAGTTCTTAAAAAAACTGCCTTTTTTATGAATCCTCTTTTTTTAGGGATGGTTAATTTGGATGGTAAGAGTGATTAGAAATGGAAAGTAGGTTCAGCTGGGGAGGGCTGAACTTCATATCCTATGTGTACTTTTGGTCCTTAAATTTGATCTTAATCATAATTCTAGCTTTAGATTATAACTTATTTCCCATTATTTTCTTGTATATTAAGCAATCAGCTGAATCAGAAGACTATCTGAATCATACTTTTTTGAAAAAATTCAATTGAAAAATGTATAAAAGGAATTTATATAAATAATTTGTAATGTCGATTCATAAATATATTTTTAAATATATATTTTTTCAACCATTGGCATATAAATATTTTGAGTTTTATTTCTGATCTAAAACGATATCTATTAGAATATTAATATATGCCAAAAACAAGAAGAATTGATGCAAAGAGGGTCCAACCACTAAAATAAGTTTGGTCCTGTATATATATATGTCTATTATTGCAATTGAGAAATTACTGGTAACCAACACCACCCTATTTAAAGAGTGGAGGGTACATGGATTTATTGGCTTTTTTAATTATGGATGGGTAAATATAGTCGTATATATCGTTGAATATATTTATATTTACTAATTTTCTTTTTCAACACTGATGAGAAGCACCATATCAATTTTCTTCTAAAATGTAATTCATAGGTTGGTTTAAGATTAAAAATGATCAAGAATTCAAGTAACTTCTTACACTTTTCACCTGAACTCCTATTATCACACCATCATTCGTCTTCATCCAAAACTACGGGTTTGGAAGTTTTTTTAAACTATATTTGAGATTTGAATGTTTTTGATAGTAGTTCATGTATCAAAAAGATTAAATCAAATATAATTGTGTGTGAATGTTTTTGATTTGGATGTATATTCCAAATCAATAAGGTGATCTGATTTGAATGTCTATTTGATTTACTAAAAGTTATTTAAACGTAGATTTGTATCGTCTGTATGTATCAAAAAGATTCATACACAATTAGCAAATTTTCACTTTCAAAATTTGATGAGCGATTTTTATTTTTACAACATAAACTGCTTCTAGTTCGCAAAAAAATAAGAATTATAATACAGGCCCTTTAAGCTTTGCAGATGCATTTTAGGCCATTACTTGAACACGTAGAATATGCAACTTTTGTCGTTAAATTGTAACAAAAATCGTGTGGAATAATAAGGAAGCGGTTCAGTTGATAATTTTTTATAAAATTCAAAATCGACTCAAACATCTAAACAAACCATAACGCCATCATTTGACCAAGCACGTGGCGTACTAAGGCTGTTGTGGGGGCATCATTATGCAAACATATCCTGTAATTAAGATAGGGACTTGAAAAGTCAACTTTATGAATTCTTGAATCCAAATGGATCATCGACAAACATACTACAATACAATAGACCGTCTATGTTGTGATATCCACAAGAAAACATACTTATACATTGTTATTTGTTAATAATCTGTTTTGTTCGAAAATACTGTGGTGAGAGCATAACAACGCATATTCATTTATTTATTTGAGTACAAGATGTTTTTGACAATTCAGAAATTATTTCTGTAATTGCTAATATATTGCAACATTTAAATGTATGCAGTTGACCTAATTTTATATATGATAAAAATGATATATTTATGCTTTCAAACAAATGCAAATAAAGATCCATTTGCATCTGATTATTTGTATCAAATCTGTTGCTACCTTGATAAAAAGAAAGACCAGAACAAGACGACGACACGAGATGATCCCTGCCTTAAGGTCACAACGACGATTCTCTAGATCGCTTGAAGTCTCGTCATTGTTCACCTCTAGGTTCAGATATAGTTGCAAAGAAGGGTTCATTTTGGTAGCAATCAACCAAACAAACCAAAGGAAACTTATTAGCAGAATGAGAAGATAAGTGGGCATGTTTTCTTTGTCACCAGAGCCTCATTTTATACTCAAAACTTATTGACCATTTGTTACCTTTCGTACACGTTCTATTTATGATCACTGTTGATCCTCACAAATTTTTCCTTTTTAACAGTTATAGTAATGATTACGAAAGGTTGTAACCTAAATGATTCCCTTTTTGAGCGCACATAAAGACACAATGAAAGACTATATAACTGATTCATTTGGATAGAATCAGATCTGTAACTGATTTACTAGATGAGTTCTTTGCTTTTCTAAGCAAGAAAATATACTCGGTTTAGTTGTGAAATGACTTCATTCTTCATAGATATCTTCTTCAATCTCAATGGGACTGTTTTCCAACGATTCTTTGTGTTGAATTTGTTCATTGTTATTGTATTAGTCCTTAAAACAGATGCATCCATTAATTCATTCAGAAGACTGATCTGCAAAAGTTTAGAATCATGCCACTCACAGAAAATGCTACTTTAGAAGCTACCATACTGGATTGGATCATTAGTAAATCATGAGACATGACATGACATGACATGACAACCCTGATGGGAAAATGCAATTGCTTTTCCTTCCACCGGTTAAGTCCCAACCCAGCAGTGATATATCTAGAAATTTCTTTAAGCGAGTGCACCTTTACGGTTGCTTCCCAAAATTGTGGTTTGACCTGGGGAAAGTTGGCGCAGTTTGATCAGAGGAGTCAATTGTGTCTATTTGGGGAATATTTCAAATGGAATCGGCCTTGATCTTTAAAATAAATATATGTTGTCTTGAGAATGAGATAAAAAATGACAATTTTTAAGATGAATTGGTGTTGAGAAAGAAAATAAATCATGAAAAAAATAATGAAATCAAAATGGGAGAAAATTTTATAAAAAGTTGTCTTGGCATAGTGGTAATAATGTCTATAATTGTACCTGAGGTTGTGAGTTCGATTTTTCCAACTATACTTTCGCTGTTAATATTTAAAAAATAACATTGTATGGCCTGAGTTAATGCTCTAGGCCAGCCATCCAACCTAAAATTTAAAAAATATAACTTTTACTCAAAGTAAGATTCAAACCTGTAACCTTAAAAAAATACAATTTTCACTCAAAGTAAGATTCAAAACTGTAATCTCTTACACACAAAGGGCTAATCCAACCATACCACCCATGTTTACTTCTGTTATAAATTTGATTTGAAAGTATTCAAGGACACCCCTCAAAATTAAAGGAGACACCTTTCAGACTTCAAAATTTTCTCTTGCATAATCGAGGTATAAAGGATCCCCCACTCCCTTCTTAGGTCCTGCAGCCCGGGCCTGAAAGACCAAATCTTCCAAGGACCGGGTTCAACAATGTTTATGGTGGGCTAGGTCTTATAAGACCATCCCAACTAGTGATGGCTAAACCGGCCTGGGACTGGCCAAGGACCGAAATCTGGGACCGCTTATGGATTTCGGGTGTTTCGCGAGATCGAGACTGACCGGGACCAGTTATGGCCCGACCTGGTTTTTAAAAAATGTAGCCGTTATTTTTCAAAAAACTAGCCGTTTTTTGGCCCCTTTTGTATTTTTTGCTTTCTAAACATTATATATAAAAGTGTCTTGGTTGAGGGATTACATACCAAGTTCTCGATTCACAAAAAACGTTTACAATTATCAGTTTCTCGCTATATTTTGTAAAACAATGTAATTTTAATTATAATAAAATGCATTTTTAAAGTGTATTTGAGTGACCCAATTACAAATTTTATAATGTATTAAAAATATATATCATTAAAAAAATAAAAATACAAAGTAAAAATAAAAAAAATTATTTTTTAATGATCGGGACCGGCGGCCCATTACCGGTTACAATAAAGCTTGACCGGGTTCAACTTTTTCGACCAAGACCGATTATTGCCGGTTGTGAGAAATCTTGGGAGTGGCCTAGCCCAACCCGAGACTGGTTTTTGGCCATCACTAATCCCAACGGACCCAACCCAATAACCGGTTAAATCCCAATCATTGTTCATCTTTGAGATTTGGGTTTCTTTATTTTTATTCTAAGGAAATACATTAATTAGGTTTTTGATTTAGAGTTTTATATGGAACTTTCCCTTGGAACAACTTTTCATGGTGCAATGTGGAGTAAAAAATGGTGTTTATGTTTATTTATGTAATTAATGGTGACTATGTGGATATTAAGTTGGGGTTACGTAAGAGATAATGTTACTAAAAACGATTAAGAAATGAATTGAGTTGCGTTTGGTGTGCGAACACAAGCCACAAGCAACGAGGCCGATTAGATTACGATGTTGACCTTATGTTCCACAGGTTGACCACACTTAACTCTTTGGTGAAATAGGTCGTTGATGAAATTTTTATGGTGTGCATTATATACATTATGAAGGGGAGCTATTGTTAGTGCACTGTAATGTTACATAAGTTTTCACACACACTTTTTTGAGATGCATTCATATGTAATATATTGGCATGACTATGAGATGTGTATGTTATGCATGTTTATGAGAAGTTTGCATGCTATTTGTTTTCGAGTTCTTAAACATATTAGCATATGCTAAATTACAGTGTCGGTTTTATGGTTTTGCACTTTTGTGGTGCATATGGGATTACAGTGGAGACACCGGATATAAGGAGAGGCATAGTTTTGATATCGGTGACTAGCTAGGTGCGGTTCACGCCCAAACTGAGCCTCAACCCAGAGAGATGCTTGTTGACATAATGTTCCCTACCATACTAGGATTTGAAAAGACCTCTTTGGGAACACATGTTTTCGATAACTAAACACATACTACTATATGATGTTTAGATGTTTATGCATGATTAAGTGTGTAGTTTTATGCACGTAAATAATAAACTCATTGACCTATTTAGCTGAAGATTAGTATGCATTTCAAAAGCTGGGAGTTAAAACCTGGATAAGGGAAAGCACAAAACTTAGATAGGGTTCCACTTTGCTATGTAATATATATATAGTTGGATTCACGTGAGACCAAAGGTTTTTCGTGAGACCTGTAAGACCAATTTATGTTCATTGATCAACTTTATAAGCTAATGATCTAAAGTTGCACGGTGGCAATTTTGTGATTATTGAGAAGTCTCGTGGCAATTTTGTGATTATGAATGTTCATATTGTAGATCTAATCCAATGGTTGAGAATTGGTCTTACGGGTCTCACGAAAAACCCTTGGTCTCACATGATCCCAAGTCTATATATATAAACACTTGTTATGATTATTGTACTTGGGTCATGTCACTTAGGGCCATCTACCAAATGCTAATCGGATAAGCACTTACTAGCAAAGGTTACCACCCTCACTTAACTTTTCCAGTGACATTCTCGGCCATCAAAATGGATTGTTGGTAAGTGTTTCATCCCGTAAGCACTTACAGGATAAGAGTCTTTCCCCTCAATTTCCGGATAAGATTGTCGGTCTTCGCTATGTTCATACCAGGTAAGATTCTCAGTACTTGTCATGCACATCCGATAAGTAAGTGACATCCAATAAGCACTTACCAAGTAAGTATTTGGTAAACAGTCCCTTAGCCTGATATGCAACAGACTAATGTTGGAGAACTCTATTACTTTGGATATTGTAAGTTAACATTTCCGTTGTGGTTTGTGGTGTTGGTTTGTATTTTGGTGCTATGTTTGGCAATATGAGGTACATTGGAGATAATGACGTGCCATTGTTCAGGTGGAAATAAGGGTGTTGTTACGTAGGAAGTTGAATCACTAGGTATAAATTTCGACACAAATTCGAAAATCCGAACAAGGGTAAACTATCGTGAAAAAAAGATAATAAACATCTTCAACAAAAAAAAAAACAATTTAATAAAATAAATAAAATTGGTAAAAATAAATGAATGAACTTATAGAAAAAATGCATGAATGCCACGTTATACCGTAACACTTGATTACGTGAAAAATGACACATCAAAATCAATCGAACGTAGGTTGAAAACCAGCTTATCAAGGGAACAAACATATATATATATATATATATATATATATATATATATATATATATAAAGAAAACACATAACATCAAAGTAATCGTTAGAACCCTAACGACAGCATCTAACGTTTATTCTTTTAGATAACATATAAATTAACGAACTTTGTAATTAAATGAAACAAGTACATCTTACCCGATCGGGCTTGCCTGTGATTGAGATTCGTGAGACCCGAGGTGCCCACACAACAGTCAAGATATCATCACCTGGCCTCCAATGTTTTTTTTTCCTGAGATCTTAGAACGGAAAAATCATCTTTTTCCAACCAATCTACTTCAAGACTTTACTGCAAAGATATTTGCCAACCCTAGTTGATAATATCAACCAAGGTATCACACCAACCTGCAATTTAACAATGAGTTATATAATTCAAACAGCAATGTGAGGTTATGTGAATCAGTTCCTTTTCTCTCTTTAACATACTTTTCACAAGTTGGTCTTCACAGAAACAACCGTTCTATGCTATGGTGTAAAGGTGGGGTCTGCGTACATAATACCCCCAGGTCCTTCCTCCGGATGGGATATACTGGCCTTTTGGTTCGATTTGGTTAAGCCCCTACGCCGGACAGGATAAAACAAAAATTTGTTGTCCCAAGTTTGATGTGACATTAGATTGTGACAGGACAGGACTAGGTGAAAGTGGAAACAAAATTCAAGATGGGACAAGATATAAATTACCAAACTACCCCATGTCAAATTAAAACCCTAAAACCTTCCATAATTCTTTCACCTGCTTACCACACTCTTGCATTCTAGTCTTGTTTGCATACCAAACGCACCTTGGGCTAATCTTGGGATGGTTATTGCAGGTGTTGGTACATTTTTTTTTCATGTGCTATAAACTAGTTACGCGCCATAGCTGCTGGTCGGAAAACGTAAAGTATTCATGTGGAGGGGACACTTTGCATGTATCTCGTGGAATAGTTGGGCCAAATGTGTCATTGTCTACCAAAAACAAAAAGATAATGTAGCGAACAACTGAGAACCCCTTGGAGAAATCAAATCCTGACATTTCTACCAATTGTTCGTGCTGCACTGGTTGGACATATGCACAAATGATTGTACTTTGTGTCAAAGGTTATGGTTTCTCAGATGAGGAATGACTAATTGCTTCCTAATTTCATCATGAGGCTGCACCGTATGATGGTTTGTGTGTGTGTGTGTGTCTATATATAGGTGCTGTGATCTGATTGCAGATGCTTAAGCTCCGTTTATGGATATTGAAGTACTCTATCCACCCCAAAATAAATGTTAATGAAAGACAGAAATGTCTGACTAATTTTCAAACTTAAATATCTTTTAATAATGACAAAATAAGAGAATCTTGTGGACTAATTCTAATGCAATCAATATTTTACAATGATTATTGGTAGGGGAAATGATAACCACGGATTAAAACTTTTACCAAAAAGGGAAATATCACAGTAATTTCTGGGATTTCGTTAAAAGGAAATTGTTGTGTCCAACTTTGACTTTTCTGACTCCCTCAAAAAATGGCTATACAACAGGTTACAGCTAAAAAGCTCACAAATAGCGCCACAGAAGCAAATTATATTCCTTGACCTCTCACAGACTTTATCTAGATAAAGAAGGATCTTTTGCAAACTTTATACCAAATCAAACCAACGAGACCAGTATATCCCACCTAGAGGTAGGGTAGAGTAGAGTAGGGTAGGGTTGGGGGGGGGACTCGGCCCCAAAGAGTAGAGTGACTGTTTCTGTGATCTTGCAAACTTTATCTTGATTAAAAGAACCATAGTAACAAAGGTATCCAAGTTATTGCTAACTCACCATTATACTATCACTGAAAGAATTTCCAGTTCTCCAGGATAAGAACCTCCCTGCATTAATCAGTCATTGAAGGTGAATCAAGAAAGTGCAATACTTATGCATTCTTTCGGTTTACAGATCGTGAAAGCAGCAGTATGAAAGATTCGTAAATGACCAACATCAATGGTAGAAGTAAAACATGTGACGTCTTTAATACGTTCCAACAAGAGAGTCCACTTTGTCAATCTTTTGTCCTTGAGTCGTTTATAAATTTAACATTCAAACAAATGTGATGTTCCTAAATTACCAACCTCTTTTAAATAAAACTCCTTTTGTCCAATAAAATGCGATATTTTCTTTTGGGTTGTCTAAGAAAATGCAATGTTTCCTTTTTCCGCAAGTTTTCCATCCAAATTGACGTGTTTTCCCATTAGTATTCATTACTTGATATTTGTAACTTAAATTTTCGTCCACAAGTTTTCTTTACCTTGTGCTTATTAAGGGGGATTTTAGACCAGCGGGCAAACAACTATATTAAACTATTTGCAAGTCAAAACGTTGCATTTCTTTTCTTGTATCTAACCAAGGGCAAAATTGGTCAAAAAGATCTTTAAATTCCTTCTAGATTGTAAGGTGGACTGCTTTCGTTTGGTATGGATGCAATAGAACTCATCACAAGAAGGGAAAGAAAGAATTACCAAAAGGCTGCACAAGTTCTTTGGACACGGCAGCAACAGGAATCCGCCAAAACCACACAATCAGAGTAAGATATATAACAACCTGGCCAATGAAGATGCTGATATTTCTAGCAAACTCAATCTGGTAAACTTGATATCAACAATACCAAAATATTATCAAGATCACCTTTGAAATCATCAGAATTTTCTCGTACAAGGCGAATGATGTTTTTATCTCCTTGCTGGCTGACTCTTGACCTGCATGTCATGTGCAGTTGTTAAGGTTGCCAATAGTCTATTTAAACAAAACACAAAGAAAGATAAAAAAGAAAAGGTTCAAACTTTGAGAATGGCCAAATGATACACGAATTTTAAATTATTCGACCACATCATTTTCAAGAACATGTTCCCCAAAGAGTTCTTAAACTGAAGTAATGTTGGTCATCCTAACAGAAGTGAAACAAATACAAATTGATGGGGTCACGTGGTAAAAGTCAAATGAGAGGCATAAATCATCCAAGGTACAATATATATATATATATGTGTGTGTGTGTGTGTGTACGCATATCTATATATATCATATTAATGTATATTATATTAATATACATAAATATATAAATTATATTTTAAAATAAAATAATATAACCTTCTACTTGAAAAAACCCTTGATGGATATTTTTTATCATTCAAAATCAACTGTTCAACATAGGAGTAAATAATCATTTATGTTATTCACACTGTTTATTAAGCACAACAACCGAACAACAATTTAGCCGAATCCATAGAACAGCTTAACCATACAGGGCTTAATGAAAAACCAGCCGAACAGCCCCTTAGTCAAGTTCCAATAGCTGCTGATTAACTAGAAATAATAAGATTAAAATAATACTATATCGAACAGACAACAAATTCCATACATTTACAAGTTGACACAGCTGCCGTATAGGCATTTCTATATGTGCAACAGAATCAAACAAGGCCATCAACTGACAATTGCCATCAGGAAAGAGAAACACAAGCCTTCGAAAATGGAGACAGGAAACCAAAAGTATGTCATGCCATGGCAGCACCACACCTTAAACAGCTGCTATGGGGTTGACGTGAGGTAGGAGACGTGTCTTACCACCATGGGGCGCCTTTTAGAACACTGCTATTTTATGGGCAACCATCTTTTAGATCTATCACTTAAAAAGACTTGAATACCTTTGATACAACTTCAGCAGTGAACAGGAAGTAGAAACAACACTTGGGGAGCAAAGGTTACCCCAAAATCATAGTTTCAAGTATTTAGGATCTATGATTCAGAAGGAGAGAGAGGTTGACGAAGACGTACACATAGCATAAAGGCGGAACGGGTAAAGTGGAGGGCGGTCATGATAGTCTTGTATGACAAGAAAGTCATGTTAAACCTAAAGGGAAGGGTAACCATCAAACCAGAAAGGTTTTATGGGTTAGAGTGTTGGGCTATAAAGAAGGTGCATGAGAGGAAAACAGAAGTTGCAGAAATGAGGATGCAGCAATGGAGTTGTGGCTGGACCACGTTGGATAGGTCAGCAAACAAGGTTTCTCGAGCAGAGCTAGAAGTTGCGCCTATCTTGGATAAATTGGGAGAGAGAAGAGTGTGGTGGTTTGGGCACGTTCGTAGCCAGAGGCAGGCAGAAGAGAACATTGGTAACCTATCCAACATAGTTCGGTTTAAGGGGTGAGGCAGGCCGAAGAGAACATTCGATGAGCAGCTGAGGTTGGACATGGAGGCATTGGTACTTCCAGAGGAAATGTCCTCAAATAGAACTTCATGGAGACGGCGAATTAGAGTAATTGATTACTTGTAGGACTCCATTAACAATTGCGTTGGGGGAGGGGGTTAAGGGGGAGGGTAGAGAGTCGATACATAGATTTGTAGTGTTGTAAAATACACATAGGAGGGATCTTTCGAGTGTTTCACATGCTTTTTAGCTCGAATTTGCTAGCTTAAGTGGCTCTATCGTCTTTCTTGTTCACCCCCTCTCGTTTTTTTCGTTTTTATTTCCTCTCTCCATTTTCATTTGTTTCAGGCTCTTTTGCGATCTTTCATAAATCTCCTTCGAAAAAATAATAATAACTTGATGATTTTATTTTGCAACACTATGACTTCTAGCCTTGCTTTCCGAATCCTCTTCTCAAGGTGGTTTTTTTTTCAGAAACAACCTCTCTGCCTCTTGAGGCAGAGAAAAGGTCTGCATACGTCTTACCTAGAGGGATATACTGGGTTTGTTTGGTTTGATTTACTTAAAAACCCTTGAATACAAAGTCTCACTTTTTGACTGATTAGCAATAAAACAAAACAGCATCGACATTTGCATTGATATACCAGACGAAATCTCCAAATCCGGCAGATATAATATCTTTGTGGAATAAATGATCAGAAGTTATTTTCTAGACCCATGTATGTTTCCTCTTTCTAGTTTCCCCATTGAACCTTGCAAGTACAGTAGCCAAATAATACAGCAATTGAGGCAAATGGGAATTTACCATAGATAGTAAACTGCCGGCTAGAACAAAAATTGCAGTTGAACTTCAGAATCTCAGATGAAGATCTAAAATCAACAGTACCAAATGAATCAAGAATGGAAGTATAAACTAATCAACTCAAGCTTTATTAAGCAAAGTCAGAAATATGCTCAGAAGAACGACGTAATTGTCAACCAACAATTGAACGGTAGTTTAGCTTTTCAGTTTGCTTAGATCTGATTGTCCCAATGTGCAATGGCGATATTAGATACTCATCCAGCCTATGGAACTAACAAGTTCTCATTTTCATGTGGACCGAAAATTATCGAGCACTTTTGCACTTGCAAACAGGCATTGCTGATTTCTTTCCCAAGTGAAAAACTAGCTATTCTTCTTTCTTCATCCTCAATATTTGTGGTAAAATGACAATACCCTGTTAAGTCATTCTTATGTGCAGGTTTATCCCAAGATTGTAGGCTAACATAAATGATGGTATGTTCATCAAGTGGCAAAATGACAGTGGATGAACAACAACGTAGATGGTACCCATCATAAAACTCTGATGTACATAATACAAGCAAGTAAAATCTTCATCTTCCACTAGGAATTAGTTTCTTAAAATTCATGGCCACCTAGCACAAGTATCAAACCACCAGTCCAATAAAGGCCAAATCTTTTTTTAGATGACATGAAGGACAATCTTATCATGGAACAACTGATCTCCTTGTGAAGGAAATAACTGTAGAGGGAATAAATAAAGAAAGATAGGAGAATAAAAAATGTTGACACGAGAACAAAAAGAAAGTAAATATCATACTTTTTGCAAGCTCTCTCTCTTTAGCTGCAGCCATTCTCTTAAGCTTTGCAGATTGAGCAAATGTCGAAGGCCTGCATTAAATGACGGAATTCCTTTTCCATGTTAGACTGTTATGGGTGGATGTATGATTGAATTAAGAGGTGTAAATCTAAATCCAACTTGTGTATAATTAACTACTAAAAATTGGTATAGTCAAGGAACCTCAAGGGGTGGTCAAGTTTGCAAACTGAGTTGAGACTTTCACTGTAGAGTGAGAGACCTGAGTTCGAGTCTCTTGTATGTGAGCCACGCCAATTGCCCATAAGAGAGAGCTTCAGCAGGTCAAGCATATTTGCTAGTGGACTCAGAGTCTCAGACCCTGTAAACTTAGTCGGCCAAAGGTCGGACACCACAGTTTTGAAAAAAGAAAAAAAAAGGAAGGAAGTTCAAAATATTTCTTAATGACATGTAAACTCAAATGTTACACTTTTTCTACAATAAACTGACATGGTAGCATAGTTCATGGTCAAAAGAATCTATCAGGTTAATGTGTTTGGAATAAACGGCGAAGAGAAGCAATACTCTCTTTTAGGCATGTCCTCTACTTAAATGAATTCAGTAGCACAGCTGGTCCCCCCTTACGAAAAATATGCACTTTGGCATTTAAGAAATGGAAAAACGGGAGTCAGGTGCATTACAATTAGGCTTGATGGGGAAGTATAAATAGAGAGCACCAAATATTAAGCAGCAAGGATCTAAACTTGAACTTTTTAAGGGGCTATGTGCAATTTTTTTGGGGGACAACCAGAATTACAGTTGCCTACTTCTCCCAGTCCCCTTGGGAGAACTGACCATCTGTTAAGCTAAAGGGCCTGTGAATGATTCTCTCGTAGGTGTCAACAATGACCACTCAAGATTTCGTTGGTTACAGGTAAAACTGAAAGACAAACAGATGCTAATCGAGGCAGGAATTGGGCTTGAGTTATACATATATTTTCTATATGATTGTCTTCCAATGAAAAGCAGAAATAATTGAGTGAATTTCAGAGGGTGCTCACTCTGACAAAGCGGCTGCCTCCTTCAACAGTTGCTTGATTTCAGCACGCAATTGGGCATCCTTCTCACTCATGGATGCTTTCTGACATAAGACAAGTATCAATTTTATAACAAAAACATGATCTTGAGATAGAAGTATGTTGTTAGGGTAAATAATAACAGATTAAAACATGATATCCATAATAGGTATGTTGCACTTGCATGTTGTGGAACAGCCATTGTGTCTGAACAGGATTTGGCAGTTCCAAAATAACGGAACAACTAGGTATGACAAACATGCTGTGACCATGATCAAAGATACCACATTTTCCATCGCATCAACTCAGACCATCTTAAAGGCATTCTATTTACTCTAGTATCAATGTACTGAGCTACTTACTTTAGTGTTCAAGTGTTCTAATTTGCTTTTAGTAACTTGATTCAGCTATATTCGTGAGCAAGACATGTAGATGTTGACTAAACTGGCTAGCATACAAATTGTTAGGATGACAAAGTCGACATAGAATGCAATAGGTTTGGCTATAGGAAAGCCCAAAATGGCATAACCGAGTTATACATTGGCTTAATTTTTTTTTACAGTCCCAAGAACTTTTGCTGGTTCTATTTATTTACTAATTCATTTTTCGGATGCTTCAATTTGTATTGCAGCAGAGTAGAATATGTTGCATCGGACACCCCACCCTTAGTCAGTGTGTCACCTTTTTCATGATAAATGATCCTCTCATGTATCATCATCATTGGCTAGCAGTGGATCAGAAGAATATCTATATGATCAAAAAATCAACATCTTTTGCCCCTCTACAGTGTTCCCCCATACATTCTTTTTCTACTAAATCTATATCATCGTATATGTGTGCATAACATCAGAGGAGGCAGGACATGGCAGAAGATTAGGATTTTATAACTACTCCCTTTTACCAAAGATTCTTTCTTTGGTCCTTCGCAATTTTTTTTTTTTATTTCTTGAAACAGTCAAAATTTTATTAACTAATCAAGACTGTACAAACTAAATTACATAGGCTGCAAAGTGCAAAATCTGAAAATGTTGGTACTTTGTATCTAAACAGGTTGAAAGATAACAACGATACATCCTACGAATACTTCAATATTCAGTAATTAACAGGAAAATGAATAACAAAAACTCGAAAATGGTGGCGATTCCACTAGACATAACAATTGACCACCGATATTGAATCAATAAACCACGTTTCATAGAATTAACTCCATTTCCAGCCCATATCGATGTGAAAATAGAACTTAACAATCAAAGCCAATTCGATAATTAAGAGTGAAATTGCAAAAAGACATTCAAATGAAAGCGCATTGGAAATTTACCTTCTTCATATGCGCTAAGGACTTGTCAAATAACTGGAAAACCAAGACAACAATGAAGATGATTGGAGCTGCTAATGATTTAGTGTGCTCTACTAGGGTTTCTTCCATCCCTTCCCTCTTTTCCCTGTTACAATTCCAGAATCTGATGCGTAGATTTTCTGTAATTTGGTTGTTTCTCGGAACCTTTTTAACGAATAATCTCCCCTTCTTCTTTCTTTTTTGTTACTTTTACTTTACATGTTCAGTACCTCTACTTATAGTTTTACCTAATTGAGTCCTTGTATTTGCAACCTTGCAAAATAGGTCACTATGATGGTTGAAAGTTGTCAATTGAGTCAATTGACCATTGGAGTAAGCATTTGAAGATGGTTTTTATATAGTGGAAATCTGATGTGTCAAATAGATCAAGTCTTTTTACGACTTGACCATTGCGAATGCTCTAAGGATAGAGATTTTTGTTTGGTAAGAGCGATGATAAAGACCAAGAGTCTTACTTGGTAAGGGACTGTTCGGTTACAACTTAATAGGTTGTATAAGCTATATGACTTATTTGCACAATCATATCTAGGTGTTTAATATGGGCTTATTCGGTTAGCCCATGGCTGAATCGCTCAGTTTGAAGACCTTTCTCCTATACACTCAGCCATTAAATTGCATTAATTTTCCCCAACTATTCCTCTCCCCAACTACTCACATTAAACTCATATACACAGTTTCTTCCCCATCGATGATCCTTCCAGGCTTCCATCAACGCTCCTCCCAACTACACGCCTACTCCAGTTCTAGCTTCCAGCCCTCGTCATCACCGACATTCCACTGGTTCCAACCATTGTCGGGTGTTGATCTTCCAACCTTATTGTCAAAGAAACCCACACTTGAAGAAATATTCCTCAACAGATCTGGTATGATGGTAACCATGGAAGTTTGATATTGGAGACTTAGCACAGAGGTTTTAGATCTCATCAACAGATCCTTTTCTTTCTTTAATTTGCGCTTCTTCTTCCATTTTGGGTTTTGGGTTAATGGGTTTTTGTATGAATCAACAAATGGGTTTTGTGTGTGTGATAGAGAAACCGCAATCAAAGGGTTTTTAGTTTATACGATTTGTTCATGTATTTGAAACGTAATGGGTGATTTATAATCACTATCATCAAATTTATCCACATGGCACATACAACACAAAAAGAGAGATCTTCGGTATAAAATAGTTTTATGACATGCATTGATTTTACATGATGTTTGCTGCATTGTGAATGACGTTTTACGATTATGTTATGCACATTTTAAAAACTCATGAGTTCACGAGGTCTTTGGCTGACTATTTTTATTTTAAAATTTATGTATTTATCTCAGTATCAAATATCCCAAAAATTTCAAACGGAGAAAGATCTAAAACTCGGAAAGATTAGTTGAAATGTTGAAGTTCTCATTGTACATGTATTTTAAGACGGGAACAAAGGGATTTAATAATACGATGTTTCTACCGTAATGTAAAGTTTCAAGTTTAAGTTCCGTATTWTGGTTTATTAGCATGTTTACGTTATGAGTGACAACTTAAAAAAATACGTCACATATAATATATCATTATTAAATAAAAAATCGTTAGCTTCAGTGACTTGTTAACATATTTTGCAATTTCTTTTTGTTGCCAAGATCTGTAATATTTTTTACGTCACTTAACTTTATGAACTTAAATTGTACTTGATACATTTAAACTTTTTCTACCATAAAGGTTTTTGATTATTGTTATTGGAGTTTTATTAGACTATGCAACCAGCCAACCACTAATACTAAGAAAGGCTTCATCGATGGATTTTTCGTGGTACAAAATTTTGACGGATCGACAGTAATAATTTGATGGACTTTTTCAGCTAGTAAATTTGTGGGTAATCATAATCACTGGCAACCTTTTCTTCGACGATAAGAACCGTAGGTAATCTGTTGATAATGACTAATTAAGTAATTAACACCCTTAATTAAGTAATTAACTGTATTAGATATTGAATTATGGTTAAGGATTGATAATAATTATTATTATATAAAAAAGTAAAATAATTATTTAAATTTAGTCAATGTATCAACATATTAATTAATTATTGGCAATTCACATGGATTTATATACCACATCCTATGGGACTTCTATGTAACCAATAAATCTTTACATTTACATAACTATTTACAAGAATTATATTTTATGAAGTTTGTTGGGAATTCAAAAATATGTATATTGTGTTTATTGGAAATAACTCAAATGAGAATATAACGTAATCGTATCATTACAAGAGAGATAAGGTCGTTGACAATGAAATAGACTTGGATTGGAATTGACCATTGACTTAATGAGTTACAAGTATTATGCAGTATTTTCTAAAGTAAATGGAACATTTGAGAGTTTGTTCGAAAGTTAATGTAAATGATGTGGATTAAATCGGTTCCAAAGTTTATTCTCAACCTTATCTGCAACTGATTTGGTAGCTACCTACAAATTTCAAAATATACAAACTTAAGGGCCGAGATTGATTTGTAAAATATGTAACATTTAGGCGGTTTATATTTGTGTGTGTATGTATGTATATATATACATACATACATATATATATATATATATATATATAAGGTTGGGTTCTCGATGAGAAGTAGAGTTAACGGGATTTGGAATGCATTGCAATGGCATTGTGAAACTCACAAATAATGCTTAAATTCTTCTTTTGGATTGGCTTTTAAATAAAAATAAAGTACAACGATGAATACACCATGTGTGGGACCACAATATTCAAGTTGCTATAAAATATCGTATTTTTTCTATCTCAAAATATATCAATTCTATTATTTAAGTCATAAAATCAATGATTAATTTCAATACATAAGTCTACTTCATTGATTGACAAAGTTAGAGAGATAAGACAATGCAGGAACATTATCCACGTCCAAAATATACCATATGAAGGTACTCTTTACTTTCAAACAAACTCTCAAATTTTCATTTACTTTAGAAAATATTGATAATACTTGTAACTCATTAAGTCAATGGTCAATTTCAATCCAAGTCTACTTCATTATCAACGACCTTATCTCTCTTGTAACGATACGATGACGTTATATTCTCATTTGAGTCATTTCCAATAGACACAATATTCATATTTTTGAATTCCCAACAAACTTTATAAAATATAATTCTTGTAAATAGTTACGTAAATGTAAAGATTTATTGGTTACATAGAAGTCTCATAGAATGTGGTATGTAAATCCATGAATTGCCAATAATAAATTAATATGTTGATACAATGACTAAGTGACCGTTTACCAAAAGCTTACCCGGGTAAGCACTTACCAAGTAACATTACCTTACCGGATGAATATGGTAAGGACCAATAATCTTACATGGTAAGAACGAGACAAGGACCAAGAGTCTTACCCGATGAGTAAGGGTGACGACTCTTACCACGGTAAACGCTTACCGGGTAAATTGTTGCATATGTTGTCGTTTTGGTGGACTAAAATCTTACCCGGTAAGTAAATAATAGTGTTAAATTTTACCCGTAAGCACTTACCGGGTAAGTGTTTCTTAAACGACCCCTAAATTTAAATAATTATTTTACTTCTTTATATAATAATATTTATTATGCACGTATGTAATTATTATTATGAATCCTTAACCATAATTCAATATCTATACAGTTAATTACTTATGGGCCGTTTATCCAAATGTTTATCAGGGAAGCACTTACCGATAGGAGTCAACATTATGATTTATTTTGATGCATAAGATTTTAGTATATCAAAACATATCAAATGCAACAATTTACTGGGTAAGCATCGTCATTCTCACTTACCAGGTAAGACTCTCCATCCTTCTCATCGCTCTTACCCGGTAAGATTCTTGACCCTTCTCATGTTCATCCGATGAGGAAATTTATACGGTAAGCACTTACCAAGTAAGTGTTTAGTAAACGGCCCCTTAGTTAGGGTGTTAATTACTTAATTAGGGGTGTTTGTTATGTGGTATGATTTAGAACTAAACAACCAAATTAAAATGTAAATGCGATTTAAACATTTTTCTAAACCACCAACCAAATGTCCATACTATGCACTCTAAATCAAATGTGTGTGGTCATTGGTTACACTACAAAACAAATGGGCTTTATCGACCGACAAATCCGTCAGCAATCCATTAGAAAATGCCATTATAAACAGATTACCTACGCTTCTTACCGCCGAAGAAAATGTTGCCGGTGGTTATGATTACCCACAAATTTACTAGATGAAAAAATCCATCAAATTATCACTGTCGATCCGTCAAAAATTTGTATAACGAAAAATCCATCGATGAAGCCTTTTTTTAGTGTTAGTGGTTGGCTGGTTGCATAGTCTAGTAAAACTCCAATAACAATAATCAATAACCTTTATGGTAGAAATAAGTTCATAAAGCTAAGTGACGTAAAAAAATATTACAGACCTTGGCAACAAAAAGAAATTGCCAAATATATTTTATACATTAATAAGTCATTGAAGCTAACTAATTTTAATTTAATAATAATATATTATATGTGAGTTATTTTTTTAAGTTGTCACTCATAACGTAAACATACTAATAAACCAAAATACGGAACTCAAACTTGAAACCTTTTCATTACGGTAGAAACATCGTGTTACTAAATCCTTTTGTTCCCTTCTTAAAATACATGTACAATGAGAACTTCAACATCTCAACTAATCTTTCCGACTTTTAGATCTTTCTCTGTCTTTTGAAATTTTTGAGATACCTGATATTGAGATAAATACATAAACTTTAAAATAAGAATAGTCAGCCAAATACCTCGTGAACTCATGAGTTTTTAAAATGTGCATAACACAATCATAAAACGTCATTCACAATGCAGTAAACATCATGTAAAATCGATGCATGTCATAAAACTATTTGCCTACTGAAGACCTCTTTTTTTGTGTTGTATGTACCATGTGGATCAATTTGATGATAGTGATTATAAATCACCCATTACGTTTCCGGTACATGAACAAATCGCATAAACTAAAAACCCATTGATTACGGTTTCATGCATACACATTTCATCACACACACACACACCCCCATATATATATATATATATATATATATATATATATATATATAGGGGCACGTTCAAATGAAAATCGTGCATTTCTAAGAAACCG